ACAAAAAGTTTTTCGAAAAAATCCAATTTGTTTCAACTTCTTTTTGTTGTTTGCAATAGCCAAGGGTTAATTTGTTCTGAATTTCGGTAATAGTAACTAAAAAGTGTCTTTTGTTCCACACACCTATTGCAGTTATACAATCAATTGAAGGGGTATTGGTTCCCGAAAAATTACTAAAACTATCACACTTTCAGCGGGTTGCAACAACGATCGTTAAATATCTAATGACTCGTTAAACCCAAATCTTTTACTAAAGGTGTAGTACGGGTTGCATTCTTCTGTTAATTTTTAACGACGACGTGAACTGGCAACTGCGCTCCCTCTGTCAGAGCTCTACTCGTCATTTACTTTGACAGATTAATGTTTATGGATTAATATTTTAGAATTTTTCAATTATTTTCAATTTTCCAGCCAATTTATGTGAGTGTCGAGAGGTACTTTGAATATATATTATAAAAGTTCAATTTTAGTTCGTTTAGTTGAAGTATTATAATGTTTGACAACAAAAATCGCAAGCAATTTACTGCTAAAGATAGAAGAAAAACCACTTGGTAAGTAAATTAATAACAAGTACATAAAATTCCTTCAAAAACATTCACTTTATTACATCTTAATTTGTATTTCCAACTACATTTTTGGGGTTAAAATTTTAGGTAATTATAGAAGATCTCTTTATTGCATGGCTAAGAAGTTGTATTGGCCAAAATACTAATTAGGAATAACTAGCTTTTATTAAATATAAAACTGATACAAGGACATCTAAAAGTGAGATACTTACAACAAAAAGAAAACTAAACTTTACAAGAGGTCAAATAGAAGGAGAGACAGGACAAGGTTCGTATTTGTTTCATTCAAAGGAACACTTTTATTGTTTTAATACATAACATTTGCAAATTCATAAAATTTGTACACCCACCGACCCACCTGGGACAGTAACTTTAATATACTTACCTTCTATATAGTATAGAATATTGTGCCTTCTTAGTAATAAAAGAAAAAATTTATTTGAAATCAAATTAAAAATTTGTGCAGTAATATGTTTAAAGTTAATTTTCTAAGTAAAGCCTATAATGTTATTTAACACAAATTTTATATTTTAAAAGATTGATTTATAGGATTTTAATTTAAACAGAAATTAAATCACTTTTATATTATATACAATATAAAACTTCTTTTGTACGTGTTATTATTTATACAATTTTAGCAATATCTGTCTTTTCCCATTTTAAAGATTTTTCAAACTACTAAAGTTAAAAAAAAATAAAATTGGAAATATCTAACGTTTGGTATTATTTTTGTTTATTTAAATTATTTCCTTATTAATTTAAGGGTGAAAAACAAGAAGGAGGCGTGGTTAATCTCCAACTTGATGAGATGGGCTCAAATTAAAGCATTTTTTTATAATCAAATAGAGTCCCCGTTGAATTCCTTTGATTCCACTGCTACATTCTTTGGTAAGAAAGTATTTTATTTATTTTATTTAAACTTAGCTGTTTTATTATACATGGTGGTCAAAATTCGACGTTTTCACATGATACAACTGGATATCGAAACCTTATAACCCACCATTGTCACCTTTTTTGAGAAACAAAACATGGAATGCTTAGTTGTTATAAATCCTTTTTAGAATCTATAGGGTGATTTTCTAAATTTATCATAATTTATTATCTCAAATAAAAATCTTATTTTGAAAAACAATTTAATAATTTGACATAGTTACATATGTAAAATCCATTGTCGTACTTATTATTTTTTCAAGGGGTACACATTTTCGAGGTAACACCATTTTTTATTTGAACACCCAAACAAAATAATGATATTTTAAAAATCACTCTTGCATTTTACTCAGGGAAGGAATTTATAACTGGATTTAAAATAACATGCTTAGTTAAAAAAAGGTGCAACATAAATGTGCTTTATCCCCTGCTAATTTAGTAATATCTTATAACCATGTCAAATTTGGACCATCTTGTATAATTATCACAAATACTTTGTATGTTGATAGGAAAATTAGTGTAATATGAAGACAAATTTGGAATTGAAGGGAACTTTTACACATTTTATTAAAGTATAACTGTAGGTTTAATTAGGTTCTTGCATTGCAATAAATAATTACACGAGTCCTAGTTAACTGCAGCTAAATATCATCGTTGAATCTCTATATAAATTTTGTTATATCATTATATTTTGGAACATACTTTTATGAGCTCTAGAATCATATATATTTATTTATTATTCTGTAGGTGAACAAATCAATAATTGATATTATGCCTCTTTCCAGTGGAGTCTCCTTAGGTGCTTCTCCTAGTAGTCTCTTCACTCCCAAGGAATCTACTAAACCCTTCCCTGGCCCAAGTGGACTCTGCCGATCCCCCTGCACAGACTCTCAAGCAAAACCGTACAGTTAAAAAAGGAAAACTTTGTAACAACAAAATTAAAAATATTGTTGTATGGACCACTAATCTTGAAACAAGAGAGGCTTGGCTCACAAATAAAACTTTAAAATATCTATACTGCCCCAGTAACTACACAAACTATAGAATGGAGATATATGCAATAAAAGAAATTTATTAGTGCCAGTATTTTGATATGTTACCAATATAGCTGCTTTTGTTGAATTAAATACAAGTTTTGAATAATGTTTTTAACTAGTTATATAAATAAGTGTGATTTAATGTTTTGGGTTGATTTTTGATAAGAATTCTCTAGAAAAATGTTAGTTACATTGTAGAATCAAGTTGACTTTTTAGGATACAGAATAAAAATTGCTGGTATTTTGTTTACTTTTTAAAAAGAAAAATGGGTCAGTATCAGAATGGTCAAATAACCTCAAATATTTGTAATTTGTCAGTTATGGGGGTTTGGCTTATGACGGTGGTATAGCCTGGTAGCAATATATTTTTATTTGTAAATAGGCATTACTTTGTAGTAATATAGGTGTTTGCTAAGTATTTTAAAATATTTCATGAGATGATCGCATAAATAATTTTAAGCCATATAACTGTGGAGCTTGGTATCTCTACTTATATTGTTAAACACTTTTTAATTCGTATAATTGTTATGTATTAATACATTCTCTAACATATTTAATATTATTTTATAGTTTTTTCCTGCCTATTTTCAGAAAAAGTAAATATTTAGCAGTAAACTACTATCAGTAATAACATTTTTATTGTTTGTACCTATGTTGAAATAATCCATTTCTTTTTATACATTTATAAAATATGTGGAACTGGCAAAGTAGACGTATCCAATACGTTAGGCAAACTGTAAATTTTAACACAAAATTACTAGTCAACTTGAAACCTGTCATAACCAAAAAGAAATCCTGGATTGAATGTTTATTTTCTAGAATTAGAATTCTTAATAATGATGGGCAAATTAAATGTATTTTTATTTATTGTAGATTTACTATATTTTTTTATTATGTTATGTATTTTGTGTATATTAATTTAATCCTAAAAAATAAAATTTTAAAATGAATTTGGTGTTTTATTTATGACCTACAAATCTGTAAATTACAAATGTGGAAGCAAATATATTAAGGTAAATAAGTGTAATTTATACATAGTATCAATTATTTAATATTCTAAATTTCGACTATTACACAACCTATAAAAGCTAATTATCATATCATAATTATTTAATTTTCTCAACAATCTAGAAATTCCAATATTGTACAAATAGAAAGTTGTTCTTAAATAAAAAATAAATTCTAGCATTAGTTTATTAGCAAAGAAATATAGCACCCAAATTGAAGGGATTCAAAAAGGAACTGTATATGTTTTTCAAGAATAGGTCAAATGTGAATTTATTTCTCATACCAGAGATTTTACCATCTCTCCTCCAGTTTTCCATTTCTAACTAAAAAATAGATACTGAACTTTAGAAATTTCCCAATTTAAACAGTTTTTTACTTTGATTCATTGAAAAATGTATAAGTTACAAAATTAATTTAAAAAAACTGACGACTACAAAAAACGAAGAGTGATTATTTTCTCATGAATCCCATCATCAGATCTTTACCAAATTTATATTATGGAACCATCTCTGAAGAGCCCCCTTTCTAACAAAAAAATAATCAGAAATCGGACAACATAGTAAAGAATTGTCGCTAAATATCCATAAAAAAATATATTCCGATGAATTGAGAACCTACTTCTTTTTTGAAGTCTGTTAAAAATAGAAAATACATTAGAAATATTTCCACAGTAAATGGGGTTTGCACACATGATAAAAACTAAACATATTTTTAATTATGTACTTCTATTTGAAAAATAATGTACAGTAGAAAGAAATGTACTTTTCCATGGTGTGACAAAAGTTTTAGTTTATATAAAAGGGACAAACTATATTTAAGTACTGTTGCTTTAAACCACAAATCACAGATTTTTAATTGATCACTACTAGAAGGGTAGTTAAATGAGTATTCTCCTCTTTTTCCAGTGACTTATTGGAACCTTTTCTTCATTTAAGCCATTCTCTTTATTTTAAGAAATTATATTCATGTGTAAAACATTTTTTCTCTGAACCAACTGTCCTTGCTTCTGTCTATTAAAAATATGAGCCGATGTCGAAAAAAGATAGGGATAGTGTTAACATTTAACCATAGCCGTAAAGGTTGAGCCTCAATTTCATTTTTTACTTTATTTGTAATTAATTTTCGAAAAAATATTACCAAATTAACTTCATTAATTTAAAAATCTCCCGTGATCAGCTGTGAAGCGACAGACTGTCAGTTGGAAAAGCGCCGTTGCCAGTTTTAATCTCAGTTAGTTATTTGTTCTTTAGCTAACGAGAGATTTTAACAATCGTTCTTGCAACCCGCTGACTATTATAAGATCATTACCACTTTTGGGTAAGTTTCAGAGGTTATCGCTTTGAAATGTCGCAAATTTGACATAACAGTTGTGATAACAGTTTCTATAAAAATATTGCCTAGTCACAAACGTTCAGTTTCAAAATAGAACCACTTTAAAACGTTAAAAAGAGAAAATGGCGGGGAGATAAATTTTGTGAATTATACAGGTTGTCATTGAAATAGTGTAAAAAAATTCAGGAGGTGATAGTACTCCTAAAACTAGTAAAAAAAAGTTCCTATAACTATGGGTCGTTAAATGCATATTAAGGGATTTAGGGGAGTCAAAAGGGCAAACTTGGAAAGTAGTTTTTTGAAATTGTAAGCTTAAAAACACGATAAAACTTCGAAAAAAAATCACTGCTGACATAAAAATTTACTGCTGAATCCAATGGTAATATCGAAAAATTACTTATTTAATCAGAAAGGGTAGTTCTTGCAAGGGTTAAGGGGTCGATTTATGATTAACTTTTTAGAGGTTGATTTTTTTACAACGTGGGTCTATTTTTTAAAAACTTTTTCCATAAAAAATTACTCTTATTGCAAGTCGCTTAAAGCAACCGTTCTCGAGAAAATTGAAGGCAAAGAGTTTGGTAAACCTGTAGTTGAAAAACGAAAAGAAAAATTACTTATTTTTTGATGGGTATCTCACAGATTAATAAACATAAATTTATGAAAATTGTGACGTGTTAAACTAATCAACCTCCCAAAAAACTCATAAACACTAAAGAAAAAAAATATTTTCAATGTCGAAGAAATTTTATTATGAAAAATTATTTTTTGTCGAGAGACGAAGGTTCATTTAGTAACAGGAACCATGATCGCGGCCGTAATGTTACAGTGCGTGCACTAGCAATTGAAGAGCGAATTTTAAGAAGTGTAGAGGAAGATCCAGAGAGTCAATTTGCAATATTGTATAGAGTACCTATTTAGGTATTCCATAATAGACCTGTTAATAATGGTGATGTAATCAACAGAAGGAAAATTCATTTTAATAAGGATTTGTTTATATTTTAGTACGAAAATTAAATTAAAGCATAATTACACTTAATGAGAGAAATAAATTATTTACAAATGGGCAGTATAATTTAATCTATACTACAAGTGATAACATCAACACCCATCATCACAAATGTCCAACAAAATAAATACATTATAATATACAATAGTATGTACATACATAAACATTCTTTATGTTCAGATTTATATAGTTTTTTTTTAATTTAAAATATTTAGAAATTGTTTTTAAAAAAATTCAGTTTTGAGCATTACCATTTAAAAGAACTTGAATTCTACAAATTAATAATCAAATTTATGTAACTGCCTGTCATTGTTGCCATATTTATTTTTACCTGTTATCTATATCCTAACGCATTAGTACCCGAGGTAGAACTTATCGGTTGCAAATTTTATTAGTTTAAAATAATCAAAAATTAGACTTAATTAACGAATAAAAAAATATTTCAATTATTGGTAACTATTTTTGAAAGCTCGTTTAACATTTACCTACCCCAGGAAAAATGTATTATTTTTCCGAACTAAAAAATCTCGTTTATGTTTTGAAATTGGCGCAGTCAGTAGGCAATTAACTACCTAATACCCGTCTAAATTAAACCATTTGTAGACCTTTGGTTATATTTTCGACGTGTTCTTTTGCTTTAAGACGAAGCGCAGCTATAGAGGTCGTCCGAAGATCAGGAGGTGTATTAGGTGAATGATGGTGCGTATGAGCCATCGGCGGCCTTCCTGGATCTGAAGCAACCGGGGACGTAAGATAACTAGGATAACCGGTTTGCGGATGACTTAAAAATCCAGGGAGAGCAGAAAGAAGAGGGGGCGACAACCAGGGATCCATAGGGAGAGTCAGACTGGAACCTGCCGCTCTTGAGAGGGTAGCAGCGTGGTACTCACTTAAACCTAAACGAGCGGCTTCCATTTTCTCTTGTCGCCTCCATTTTGCACGACGATTTTGGAACCAAACCTGGAACAAAGTTATTGTTGTTAGATTATATAAAATATTGTTAAAAGCAACTAATGAAAGTTTGGTTCTTTTATAGTAATTGAATAGTTATACCACTGGGTTTTCAATTTAAATAACATCATCTTAATATTATAATTTTAGAGTACTGGTGTTACTCTTATAAAATTGTTAAGATGGTTTGACTCTTATGTAAGAAATAGGTCTCAACAGGTAGCATTGGGTAAATACAAATCTATATTTACCATTCCTACATCAGGAGTACTACAAGGATCTCATATTGGGCTGTTCTTAAACCGTTAAGTTTTAAGGTTAATAACAAGTATATTTTTCTTCTATTAAAATACGTGGCTTTAATATTCTCTTACAAAAATACCGCTAACTTAAAATGCAAAAAATTTAGGGCACATTTATGCCACAAATGTAGCCTATGTAGCGCCCTCTACAAATTACATTGAAGTAGGTAACAGATTATGATTTTTTCCAAAAAGAAAACTTAAAATTTAACCTTTATAGCAACATTTTATTAAAGCAAGTTGGTTTAAATTGTAATATTTTAAAGTGAGGAATCTACACCATACTTCTATGTACAATTACTTAAAGATCACCCTGTATAAAATAGCAAATAAGTGAATGCCTCAGTTTTTATTATTTCTTTTAATTCCATTTTCTAAATTCGATAAACGAAATATATTTTCAATAAAAGAAAACGAAAATAAATAAACATAATAACTTTTATAGTGATTTTCTCACTTCAGTCATCAAATTGTCGAAAATGAAATGAAAAATCCATTCGAGAGTTAGTCGATTGCCAGCCCAAACGCACCGAGAAAATTGCATTCGACAAACATGGGAGTTTGCTTAAACTTCTTATTGGATTTAGTCAATTTAAGACAGCTTCACTCTCTATTAGCCGGAGCAAAGAATACCATCAAATTGTCAATTAATGCATCAGTTCAAAACCAATTTTGAGCTCCCTCCAGGCATCTCAACATGGCCGCGAGGATCGAGACCTAAGAATTCGGATAATCAAGAGTGCCGTAGAATAGGGGTGGAACTCGCAAACGAGTCTTGCTTTTTCATTCGTCTGCAACAATTCTTTAAGAGGGGTGCATACAAAACATTATTTCTTGTACCTAGTTTACTTTCACTCTGAAAAGGATCTTTCGAAACGTTAAACTAAAATTTACTGTATAAGAAAAATTTAATAATGAAATAATATTTTAAGTAAGAAACATGTCATGATGTCATGTAAGGTATTATTAATTCTCGCAAATGCAAGAAGATAACGCTATAAAATAAATTAATAATTTTATAATTAATAACAAACAACAATGGTATTACCAAATAGTACAAGGCCAATTATATGTTACTGTATCAAAAAACCGGTGTGACAATTTTTTTGAAAAACACCGTATTTGACCTTGCACATCGTTCTTTTTGCCATATATTGAAAGTATATTGTTAAATTAATTATATTATTTTCAAATCTTACGACAATACTGACAGTTCGGCAATTTTCGAAAAATTAGTCGCCAAGTTCACACCGATCATTCAAATGGTAGAATGTTGTCTATAGCTACATGTAGCGACACTATGTAGTCTTACCTTTAGTTGACTTTTATGTCATTTTAGTTTAAGATTTCTTAGTCAATTTTATTTGAGGTTAGCCAAGTGTCAATGTCAGAAACCGACGTTATAATAAACATCACAGTAGATAACCTGTGCGTACTAGTGTCTTACCTATTTGATACAAAAACAAGAGAAGAAAACAATAACAACAATAAAAATCAGAAGATAAGACGTAGTGCTTGATTACAATTAGAAGAACACAGCTACGTCATCATTTGGCAAAGTAATTAATTGGTTATCGCCACCTACTGGGGGTTTATTGGAGTGTTAATATTGTAGGAATATAGGAAACATTGCTTTATACCAGTAGATAGACTAAGTTCATACTGGCCCACATAGAAAATTCAATGTGTAAGAGTGAGAGGTACATATTCAATGGATAGCAGAGTTAACTACATGTTTTCCATTTAAAAAGCATTGGTGTCCAAGATCCTATCATATCGTAGTTAACATTATTTGGATATTTATAACAAAGATATATCTATAGACGAGCAGTAGATATATTCAGGTGAAAAGGTTTAGGAAATTTAATAAGCAGTTGATACAGGACGATATCAAGCATGAGCTCTATAAATTATTAATGTTATCAAGAAAGTTAATGCCTTACGTTACTTAAGAAAAGCGTAAAGACGTTAAATCTGGTTAATAATACGTTAATGACAAACGAAAACTAAGATAAAATACGAGGACCTCTCTCTACAAACTCAACGCATTTGAATATTTGTAAATTAGATTTATAATACCTACCTTACAAAATCCATATCTTCATTGCTATTGGACCGATTAAAACGGAACAAACGGCTCTTGTGTAGGAGGAGCAACATAGATAAACGTCGAAGAAAAACACCATGTGCAAAGTTAGAAAGACCTAAGAATCGGCTATTATCGGATAGAATTAAACAGGAAAAAATTACATTGTAACGGAAACGTGACGTAGATTAACGCTGAAGAGAAAAATTAGGAACAATAGCAATAATACCAAAAGTCCATATGGTAAATAAATACTTAACCAATGAACCTGACAATAATAAATCTTAATATAAAAAGCTGGTATACTATTTGACAAGAATTATCTTCTTAGTTCCTCGTTTGTTTATTTTATTCTGTAACTTAAAAAACAATCAATGACTTAGGAAGGTATTAAACAATTTTTTTTTTGTTACAACTGTCATCTGTATGTCATTCGGTGTTAAACCGATGAAGAGAAAAAATACGCGCTATGACCTACGCTTATTACTGATTATATATTTTTTATTCATTATCGAGATGTCAAGCGAAGAAGAAAGACGTAGAATTGAAGAGTGGTGAAAAAGTTAGAAAATTAAATAGAGACATAGTTTTAAGATATTTGACAAATTTAAGTCGTTGGGAGAATATTGAGAGATTTCATCCTAGATCACTTAGAAGAATCCAACCAACGCAGATATGGCCTTATTAAAAGCAAATTTTATTATACTTACTGCCATAGGATCCTGGACACCAATGCTTTTTAAATGGAAAACGTGTAGTTCACTCTAAACAGTAGAGTGCTATAGTCTATTTTTATGTATGAGAGAGTAATAAAACAGCATTTCTAATGCAAAACTTAGTACGGCCACTTTAAATATTTTTACAGCATAATCTAAATATTTCCTAAAATTGTAATAAATGTACCTGAGCTATTACAAGTTTTGGGTCTTTTATTGGTCCTTTATAAACATAAGCTGTACAGAACAATAGAAAAAGGTTTGGACAGGCCAAAAGCCCTGTGTATTAAAGATTACATAGCCGTATCTTAAGATTATTTTCAATAAGTACCTATTTGCCAATTTTGTTTTATTTTAATTCCAAGAATTTCTTACAGTAATCGAATTATAAGTAGATAAATACCTTCCCAACAAATTTCACCGAAAATGCGATTATAGATTTTCTATTTAGTAAGGAGGTCCAAGTTGTGTATTCTTGACAGTTTACTAAATGTCGTTTAGTTGCAACTTGCAAGGTGCAGTGTGAATTCTAGTGTGATCATGGAAAATTTGGAAGGACCGCGTAAACGACAAAAAATTGGTCCTTTAACAGTAAATGGAAAAACATTAATATTTAATTGTTTTAAATCATTTACAGACTAAACAATTATTTAAAAGTGTTGATGACACATTGGAATTAGTTAGTAGTACGCTTGGTGTTGGGAAATCTACGATTTACAGAGTTGTTAAAGAAGAGAAATGTGGCGAGTTTCAAACAGCACGTAAAGCTCCAAGAAAACCAAAATTTCAATTAGAAAATCTTTTGAAAGAAAGACTTCGAAGGAAAATGCATGCGTTCTTCTTTAGAAAAGAATTTCCGACAGTAGACAAAGTTCTTGCCACGGTTCGAGATGATAAGGATTACCCTGAAATGAGTCCGAAGCACACTATGGAAACTTTTAAAAGAAATAGATTTTCTATGGAAAAAGCATTCCAGAAAGTCTATTTTAATAGAAAGAAGCGATATTGTAGTATGGAGAAGAAATTACATAAGGACTATAAAAGAAATGAGAAACCAAAGAAGAAATATATTTTATTTAGATGAAACATGGATCAACAAGGGACATAAACCAAATAAATTTTGGCAAGATGAAACTGTTACAAGTCGAAGACAGGCTTTTTTAAATAATTTATCTACTGGTCTAAATCCACCATCAGGAAAGGGGCGCAGACTAATAATAGTACACATCGGTAGTTCAAACGGTTTTGTTAAAGGTGGTTTATTGCTATACAGGGTGTCCCATGACTAGTTAAAACTATCTGAATATGGAAAAATACTTATAGTATAATAATGAAAATTACTATGTTAAGGTTTTCGACTACGCTCTTTTGAACTCAAATATTTTCAAAGATGGCTGACTTCCGGTTCTACTTTGTTATTTTCAATGGAATACCCAGTATCTATATTAATATATTTTTGAAATCTACGTAAAATTTTAGGGTACTTTTAATAAAAAAAAACTTCATTTTATTGCAATTTTGTTATTATTATTATTACTATTGTTACTTAATAGTACTATTGTAACTCTTGTATTACTAATATACAGTATACAGTTCGGCAAGTTTGAACGGTGCAATTTTACGATTAGTTCCGATCGATAAGCGCCCAGGCATAAATTCTGTCTCTTTCTAAAGCGTACACCGTTCAAAACTTGCTGTACGGTATAGGTACTAAGTATTATTGATCAAATTGCAATTAAAACATGCACATTGGACAATGTAGCCTGCACTTTTTAAAAAGTTTTACACCAGTTTGTAATTTTACTACTTATTAGTACTATATACTTTATTTTAATTATATACTTACAAGCTGTACCCTCTTACAGATGGCGGCAGAGATTTTATCAGCACAGAAAAACCAAAAAA